GTGAGTTTCAATATGGATTTACCTTTGGAACAGGTACGGAAGATGCACTTTACTGGGTTGTTGGATATGTCAGACGTTTTGGGGTAAACAACACGTAGCTTTGATTTCTCTAGACATTTCGTCTGCATTTGATTCTGTTGATTTGGTCTTCCTTGTTGCATGGTTTAATTGATTTAAAAATACCTATAAATTTGTTTTATTTATTTAAAAGTTGTTTTAGTAATAGAAAAATAAAATTGTTTTTTATTGTATTAAGGATAAGAGTAAAGACTTACTAATGAATATTTATAAGGGACGCCCTCAGGGCTCCTGCAGTGCTCCCTGCTCTGGAACATTATTGTGGATAACTTGCTGAAGCAGAAGTTTTCTCAAAATGCGGAATTAATTCCATATGCTGATGATATTATGATTCTAATAAAACACGATTCTCTTGAAAAAATGGAAAAAACTTTGATGAAACTGCTCTAATAATAAGTAATTGGCAAAAGAAAGAAAAATTACAATTTAATATTGAAAAAACGTGCACTGTTTTTTCCCAGAGGAGGTAAAAAGACTGAAACCACCAAATTTGAAATATGAAGGCAAAAGAATCAAATTTGTAGATAATATGAAATATCTTGGCGTGATGACTGATACCAAATTAAATTTTATAGAACATTTTAAGTTGGTACAAAGACGAACTGATCTGATTTTATTAAATTATAGAAGAACTTTTTCAGCTGAGATTTTAGCCTTGAAATCCTCCATTCTGAGAAAGATTTACTTAAATATTAGTGCTCCCAATCATCATGTATGGAATTGGAGTCTGGGGATCCAGGGAAGGGAAACTGGTTAGATTACGGATGAAGTTAGACAGTGTTCAGAAAGCTTGGTATTTAGCTTTAACCCGATGTTTTAGAATGGTGCCTACCGAGGCCGTCTTTGTGTTGGCTGAGCTGCCTCCTCTCTCAATTTTTAGTTAGAACTTTTTAGTTAGAACTGGACGAATGGAATTGAAAATGTATTAAATTATTTAGTAGCAAAGAATGTTTTTGAAAAATTTAATATTCATTTAATACATCCTTCCAATAGATTTGGTTTTGTTTCCGATAAAAGTAATTCAACTGTTGATGTCTTTGATACTTATACAGATGGTTCTGGGGTCGGAGGGAGCATAGGAGCTGCCTTTGTTGTTTTTTACTATGGAACTGAGGTGGATTATAGAATATTTAAGTTCAACATATATAATTCAGTTTTCCAAGCAGAAAGTGAAGCGTTCAAACAAGCCTTATTGTGGATTAAAAATACCTTGTTTACACCCCACATCTGTAAATATTTACACTCACTGCTTGTCACTTCTACATGCGCTCTCCCGCCCAGACAGTATATATTTCAATCCATTAATTGTCGAAATTAAGAGTCATTTAGAAACTTTGAGTTCATATTTAAATATTAAGGTACATTGGGTTAAAGCCCACATAGGCTTTATTGGTAATGAGAGGGCTGACAGCCTGGCTAAGCAGAAGGTCTCAAATGTCAGTGCAATGGATATTGAAGAAACAGTTTCGAAGAGAATTACTAGTCGAAGAATGAAAAAATTTTACGTTGGCAAATGGAAAATACAGTGGTTCTCTTCATCTAAAAACAAAGGATTTATGAAACTAATTAAAATCACGAATAAAATGAAATGTATGAACAATATTGATGTTAATCAGGTTTTAACTGGACATGGTAGGTTTCCGTTCTATTTCAACCGATTTAATCTGCAGGAAAATAAACTATGTAATAGTTGTCAGGTTGATGGTGATGCTAGGCATTTTGTGGTTGATTGTAGTTTAACAATCCCTATTAGACGGATTTTTAACATTACTGATTTTAATGTAAGTTTCATTAATTTTAAAGTTTTTAAATCATATTCTATTGCTCTAATGAAGTTTATCAATGAAAATAGGGCGCTGGTAGGACACTTCTGTTAAAATTGAATTTTGTATTTATGTGGGTTTTGGATATCTGTGGATATCTATGCTCTGAATTTGTATTTATGGATTTTTTTGTTTGTTTGTTAGTCTTTAATTTTGTGTTAGATGTGCTTACTTATTTTTGATTTAGTATTTTTCTTTGTTGTTTGGGGGTGGCTGGGTTACTGGCTTCCCTCGTTTGTGGAGATCAGGGGCCCCTTCTTTTGAGCTATGGGGACACCCGTGACCAGGTGGGCTGAAGGGAGCCTCCAATTCTTATAATCCTTACTGTTATGGCCTTTCAGTGTATGCCTTTTTAATTTCACTTATATTGCACCTATCTGATCGAAATTTCTCTGTAAAACTTGAAGAAATTTATTTATTTCTAGTGACACATTTATTGCATATGCTGTTTAAATTAATTTTTCATTTAACGGATATATTAATGATTTATGAAGTACCTGCATAAAATTTATGTAAAGAGCAATGATTTTTTTTCCAATTATGAAAAAAATTTTAATATATTCCGGCAAAACTGAAGATTTCAAATCATTACTGTTTTCGAATTTAGGTACTATAATTTTAGAAATATATTTTTAAAATGTTTATTTTATTTATATAAAGTTGTCGCTATTTAAAATATAGAACTGGCGGGAGTTATGTGCTGGCCACTTCAGACTTTTAAAATATGATGTGGGAAAAAAGAAATTAATTACAAGCGTCGTGGGAAAAAATGCTGATACAGATGTTTCTAATTAATCGAGATAGTAGTAAGTTAAAATTTCAAATATATTCTTATTATTTGACGACGTATTTTTTGGAATTTATATGTAAGTTTCCAGCTACGTGGCATTTAATCAATCAATTGTTTTAAAAATCGCAGCCTTCTCTCGCAATATGCAAAAGTAAAATAGTAAGTTTTTGTGATGTGGTGATGCTGTATTTAAAACAGGTAGTAATTTTTTAGGCTGCAAAAATAACAATTTCAACAAAACGTTACCTTAACATTATTCCTTAAATCTTGACCAACGACGTTGCAAATATGTTATTAGCCGGTACTTTTCATTAGCAAAATAAAGAGCAGCTGATGATTCATTTGCCTTCTAATGAACTAACAGAATAATTTAAGGCTTTATGTGACTTTTATATGATCTTCATGTTAGTGGCCTAGGAAAAACCAAGTTTTTAGCCCACATGGGCTATTAGTCTCCAAACGGGCTTTTGTGTTGACTCACTGCAAACGGCGTATCACTTTCAAATTGTTGCCATAAGGTATTATTGCTCTATATTATTTTTAAAGAAATCGAATAATGAAGAAGTTGCATGAATGTATGCATGCTTCTCGCAATGTGAAAAAACATTTTGGTACCTAGAGACTTGACCAACTTGTTTGATTAGGTGGGTCGGGCTGCGCCCACTTCTGATGTTGATACCTAGAGACCAGAAATTTTGAATAACGTAACCATTTGTTCGAACATGTGTACCAAAAGCCCCAATTTTGAATTGGTTTTATTACCTATTTCATATTTTGTAAAGCTTTAATAAATTTTTGTTTAACAAACTAAAATATTTGAAAGCGAGCATTGGCAACATAGTACGGAACAAAACATTTTTATCTCCAGCGTGAGACTGTCTGTGGAAAATTCTAAAGATATGCTATTTTTAAATATTTGGTGATTTTACTGCTGAACTGAATTTTATGTAGCTTAAGTGATGTTATGTAGCTTAAGTAAGATCGTGATATTTAATAAATAAAGTGAAAAAAACATGAAACGTTAATAATAAAAAGACAAAAGAAATTTGTTCTAGCCATCTTACTAAGAAAACTGAACGCTGAAGTGAAAAACTGAGAAAAGAGTGTGTTGCGATGTAATGTTATTGAATTAGATACACATCCTCTTTTTTTAAACACAAAACTTATAATTAAATAACTGCACAATAAATAAGTATAAACAAGAAAATGACATATAAAAACTTGTAAATGCGAGAACAGAACAAAAATAATGAAAAATAGACAGCATTCTAGCTGCCTTGCGTACGTAATCGTCTTGAGTCCGACAGTTCAACTGTTTGTTTTTGAATCAATGTTCTTTGGCATAATGCCAAGGCGAAACAGAGTCAGGTTGAGTTGTTCTGTTCCGGTGCACCGGAACAGAGTAAAAAAAAAAAAAAAAAAAATATAAAAATGTACGCCAACACTCAATACTGCATTGAGAATTCTAAATTTTGTTAAAACAGATAAAAATTTTGTGATTTTGCTGCTGAATTGTATATGGCATAAGTGTGAAGAAAATGATGTTTAATAATGAAGCTAAAAAGCAAAACAAATGGGATAGCAGGTCTGAGTGAGTGCAACAGCAGGCTATGTAGACTGCGAGCTCAGCGAGAGCGTAAAATAACCTTAACAAACCCTTTTGGGAGATGGTTTAAAATTGAAACCTGTTTTGTAATTTATAGGATAATATTATACGTACTGGTAACTCATAGATGCACTGTTAGATTACGGCAAAGCACTCGGAAGCCATTTAAACATAAGGATGCCTTCGTGGATGATTTTTTTAAACTATCTCATATTTACGTTAAACATGGGGGGGGGGGACACGAAAACTTCCATGCGGCCAGTTCTTTCACATGAGGCCGAACCTGAGTCAAATTAACAGTGTTCAACAATTTTACCGCTCGGCTCCTGGTAACTGAGCTGAACATATGAATGAATAACCATGGAGAATTGTTCAGTGTAGATGAATATAGTGCAGATAGATTATTTTCTGTTTGGAAAAGATATCCTTTCCTATAGCCTTTTCTAAATGTAAGAATGTTATATGTAATGTGTACAAATACACATAATACGAGTTAATCTGCTGTCAGTAAGTCTTCAGTTAAGGTTTTGAAAAGTCGAATGTTATGCGCAGGTTTGGATTTGCGCACGATATTGGTGTCTCTGATCTTGCATAATTGAAATGCCAATCACATATTGATATATAAGTATATGTGCTCGTCTCTTTACTTTGTAAAATGATTGATATTGTATACTAATTATGGTTATCTTATCTTTTAGGTATGGAAAAAATCTGGAGGATGGTTTTATGGTAAACTGCCCTCGAAATCTCTTTGCCAAAATGTGAAACAAAGTCAGATCTCAGGATCACCGAGTACGATAAGAGCGTATGATAGTTGGGAACACAGGGCACCCGGTAAGGCAATTTTCTCAAATTCAAGCGAAAGTGATAGAGTTTTGTAAATGCAATTAACTTTCTATTTGCCTTTAAATAGACTCTTAAATAGGTTAATCCATATCATTTTAATGCTGTATATAGAGATGAAAATATTTACAATTCTTTCTCGTTTCTTCATATGACAGGTAAGGAAGTTGTACTTAATTTTCAATGCCTTACCACATTTCCTGAATGATTTTAATAATTATGGAGTTTAATATTATTTAGAATCTATATACGAAAACAATATCTTGAATTTAAAAAAATCCCGTTTCTCACTATTTCTGTCAGTTAAGGAGCCCACCAACGGCCAAGCGGTAAAGTCATTGAACACTGGTAGGTCGGTCCGGGTTCAAGTCCTGGCGAACGGGCTGGCTGTATGGGCGTTTTCGTGATCTTCCCCATATGTGAACGAGACAGTTCCCTTTAGAAAGTCACCCACGAAGGTATCCTTTCCCTTAAGCGAGATAGCCTTCGCGTGCTTGCCATAATTAAACTAAGCGAACCATCTCTTATTTAAGGAACAGCCCAACAGCCGCCGAGCGTTAAAGGTGCTGAATACTGGTAGTTGGTTGGGGGTTCCAATCCCAGTTAATGGATTGCTTGAATAGGCATTTTATTGGTTTTATCCATGTGTACCTTGGATATGAGCTAGTTTCTCTTCAAAACGTCTTCCACGAAGGCATCCCTCCCCTTAGGCAGATAGCCCTCTAATGCTTTATCTTAATCAAATAAGCCAAACCAGCCTTAGTTAAGAAACAAACAGACAATCCGTAATAAGTCGCCTAAAATTATTGTAACGTATTTTAAGCATATAGGAAGTCATGATGTTTCACATCAGTCTGTCCTATGAAAATATGTCTAGATTGCATAAATTTTTACATTTACATAGTAGGATAAAAGAGGGATTTTTTTATTAGACTGTGTTTCATACGCTGAGCACAAGTAAAATTTAAGTTTTATTTATACGTCTATCTAAATTTATGGCTCTACTTCTAATCAAGACCGGGAGTGAAATCACTTGCTAGTAACAAAAATCCCTTCATTCATGCAATCAGCTCGTTTATCGATATCTGAAATTTCTTCAACCTGTCAGAAAAATAATTTAAGCCATGATCTTCACATGAAAAAGAAAATTCTTTTTTGATCTCTTTACAGGAAATAGAGTCTAAACAGTTTATCGAGGCATTTGCAAGAAGTGGTAATTGCCTTAAATACCTCGGCGAAAATTTCCTTTTCCTAACAACCAGACTAAAGGAATTTATTTTCTCTTGATCAGATATTAAGAAAGTTAATTTTAGAAGAATATTAATTCGGAGCTTATCAAGTTGAAGTTGAGAGCTAAAATTGAAAAGAGAAAGTTAGGATTGACATTACGATAGTCATGGCTATAGAAAGCCGTGACTAAGATTTTAGGCAATAACAAGGAATTTGAGTATATAGTCATGACTGGAAGATATGATACAAAAATCAAAATCTTTAGGCTGCTCAACGAGTATCAAACATTGCTGTATAATTCCCACCTAGAAAGGTTTTCCAGAAATTCTTGCTAAATTTATTTAGGAGCAAGGAGAGAACTTCAACCGAGACATTAAAAATATCAAGACCTGTTGGAGTGTTAATATACGTAGTTACAAATTATTGCTGAATTCTCACATCAGAAATGTAGAAATTTAGAGGTCCATAAGAGAAAAAGAAACAAATATAACTTTGGGTCAAAAACACTAAGAAATATTTTATATGTATATATTTACATTTTAAGGTCTTCTGTAAATAATGTAACAAATAAATGGATGATGGAAAATTATTAACAAATTTAATTTAATTGTAACAAATTATTACCTTAATTGGCAATAGTCCAATTTCAATCTAAATTACAACCCCCTTCAAAGCATCTGCACTGACATCATCCCTTCCCAGTGAACATTAAGTTTCACGTTAAGCCGTCACCACCGGAGCAACAGTTTGCAGTTTCTTCTTGTTATGATATTATGTTGGACATAAGTTTGTTTCATCTACAACTCACAGGATGCATATGTTTTGATTTAGATATAACTATAGATTTTAAACATACAGCAAACGAACTTCGTTACTGGGCTAATGTAAACAAAGTTGAAAGCAGATTGTCTTGTCATTCAAGGGGAAAATAATATACATATTGTCGTTCTTACAAAAAAAAAAAAAAAAAAAAAAAAAAGAATTTGTTAGCTGACATGGCATAAAATGTATGGAAACCATAATTATTCTTTACTTTGGGGAATAAAAAAGGAAATTTTGAATTTTTTAAGAAAATTCACGCTGCGTAGAAGCTGCGAGCGCGTTTATTCCCTTACCCAGCTGCGTAGCTAGGGTGGGGCAAGGGGGGACATCTGTCCCCGGGCGCAGCATCCAAGGGGCGCCAAACTGATGCTACGAAATGTTTTAATGAAATGTTTCCCATTCTTGGCACACAGAAAGGGGCGCAAATTCTTCAGTTGTCCTCGGGCGCTGGAAGTTCTAGCTACGCCCCTGCCCTTACCCGCTGCTAGTGTCATCACGCACGCAATGACGAGGCCTTGTTTTTCCGGTTGGTGACAGTTAAGCTCGGGAAAAACCATAGTGAAACGTGGAACATGATTAAAGAAGCATATAAAGGCGAGGCACTTTCATGAAGTCGTGTTTTTGAGTGGCACAAAACGTTCATTAAGGCAGAGATTCAGTGCAAGACGATTCCAGAACTGGTCGCCCGTCTACAGCCACCGAGAGTTAAAGAGGTTATCACACATGGCTACAGGCCCTGCTAGACGGGACTTTTCTGAGAAACGAGATTCTGGTAGCACTGGTTTAAACGGGAGGATTCCTAGAAAAAAAAGCCCCGCCTGAAGCGAAGTCTCACCTAGCTACGGAAGGAATGTTGCTGCTACGCGGGATTAAGTCCCAATCACATTATGTTTCGGCTACGCGGGACTTGACGTCGAAAGGGACAATTCTCAGAACCCGCACAATTCCAGGAAACCCACGTAGCTAGGTTACCTTTTTCACTTACTACAAAGACTTGAACTCCAAACACTAATCGATTATCGCTCACATTGGGATCACGTGAGGCTTCAGAAGCAGAACTTTCGTCTGATTGGTTGTCTCTACCCGGGACTGAGGTACAGCCGAGACATTTTCGGTGAGGTTTGAAAAAATCCCGCGTAGTCGGAACATTGTTTCCGTAGCTAGGCGGGACTTCGCTTCAGACGGGGCTCTTTTTTCTAGGACTCCTCCCGTTTAAACCAGTGCAACCAGAATCTCGTTTCTCAGAAAAGTCCCGTCTAACAGGGACTGTAGCCATGTTTGATAACTACCGAGAGTTTTACCTCTCGGTGGTGTCGCTATAGCACATACCGATGCAAACGGGGAGCGTGTAAGACAGTTATTGCAAGAAGACCGTCGTGTAATTATGAGTATAAGAAGAGCTGAATTTGAATCGTGATGTGTGTCATAAGATTTTATGCGAAGAACTTAAGGAAACAGAAGCTTAATGTAAGAACCTTCTTTCCCTCACTAACAGATAAATAGAAAGACGAAGAATTTCTGCTGAACTATTAGATAGAGCCAGACGTGATCCCACATTTGTGCCGAAGATTAGTGTGATTTTTTCTTGTTTCCGTGAGTGGAAAGGTGACTGAAAGAAGAGCTTCATCAAGATTACTGCAGACATCAAACGGGCAATGAGCTTGCAAGCATCGCATTTGAAGATTTCCCTGCTTGCTTTCCACTACCTCCAGAAACGTTGTTATATAACGTTGGGTATAGAGCAGCTTGGATTATTGTTTCGTAAATGCAGTTTTCTATTTTTTACGACCTTTGTCCTGGAACTTTTCTAACAAAGGATGTATATGGCGTAAGTGTGAAGAAAATGCTTAATAATGAAGCTAAAAAAAAGGAGGTTATTAGGTCTGCGAGACCATAAAAAAACTTTACAAACCCTTGGTACAACTCTGATATACGCCCTAATTTCACCAACTGTGGCGATATGTGTTCTGCGCTGGGTTTTGGAGCGATTGCGTGTTGTATGGCAATCCTGTTGACGTTGAAAAATCTTTCGTTGGAGCTCGTTGGTTCGCGTCATGCTCTGTGTCTGAGAAGATAGGGGAGGAAAGATAAAATGTTCGAAGTTGTTGAATTTAAATTCGGCAAAAGGAAATATCATCGTGGCCATCCTGTTGAGGAGCAGTGGGTATTTGGAGGTGTGGAAAGAGGGTTTGGGAGATTATTTTTAGTGGCTGTGCATGATAGAAGTAGGAATTTGTGATTTTATTTATTTGTGAACTATAGTAAGAATTAGTGTGTCTGGCTGGCTAGTGTGTCTGGCTGTCATATAAATACGATAGATACTACGTTGCAGCATGTTAAAGGCGATATGAACTTGGTATTTCTGCTGTTCGAAAAAGCATTAATTCATGGTAAGTGCATTTTATTTTATTCTTGTTCTTATTTTGTAGAATGTTATTGTTTTTTTAGAATGAATTTCTGTCGTTATTGTTGTTTTTTTAAATTGTTTGAAATTTATTTTAGTTTATTTTGTTAATTAGTGCGTAGCGTCTAGATTGCGCAATTCGTACATGCTTTTTTTAAAGTTGAAACAGAACGTTGTGTACATGGTATTCTTTGAAATTTATTGTTGTTATGTTAATTTATTAAAGCGAGGTGTGCGTTGTTCGTAGATTCGTTCTTTGCCTAGATTGTGACATTCGTAGATGTTTTTTGAAGTTAAAACATATCGCTGTGTACATGGATTCTTGTCAAATATTTTTGGTTAGAAACTTTACGTTTTTGCTATCTAAATTTTTGTTTTTGTTTCGGATTTTTATCTTAAATTGTGTGTTTAAAACGTGGTTTTTGCATGTGCGAAAACGGCGTTTTTTGGAGATATTTTAGGCTTAAAGTTCGAAATGTAGACAAAAAATTTAGGTAGTAATATTGCTATATTGCGTGGAGTTTCTCGCCAAAACTGTTTGGTGAGGAAATTGGCGACTTGAGGGCGCATATCAGAGTAGTTCCAAACCCTTTTTTTGGCGACCGTGAAAAACTGAAACCTTTCAGATTTTTTTATATTTTTGATTCTTACCTTCATTTGCGTAACTCATATTCGTTAGAGAACCAAATTTAGAAGAAATAAGAAATAAACAAGCTAACTTTACAGGTATAACTGGTAACAAGATTAAAAACAAATTTTATAATGCATTTCTACATTGGAAATAGAGCGGTGGGAAAGCAGATAAAATAAAATTCCTATTCTGACGAATATTTTTTTTTGCAGATATAGTACGAATGGAGAGTTTTGAACCACCTGAAGAAAATCACAATGATCATACCTTATACAAGAACTGGGCAGTTAGTTCTCATCCAGGTAAGAATTCTTTAGCTTCATACTCAAGCAGCTTTTATAAATCGTTTGTGAGATATATTTTATTCTAAAGTTAATTAAGAAAGATATTGTCCGATTGAAATGAATTCTAAATGAAAACGAAATTTAAGAATTTTTTAAGGTATTATGGCATGCATCTCTGCATTTGTTTACAATGATATTCAAAATTCTCTTTTATATGCATAAAAGTATATACATAATACTCTTGAAGTAACCAATAAGGCAGGTTTACTTATTCATCAAATAAGCAATATGCAAACCTATTTAACATTATTTAATCTTATTTGATGAAGTTATTTCTTAAATAGAAATGGCGTTGCGATGTAGTCCACCAGCATGGCAAGCACTTTGTACAAATAAAGTTTATCTGCCGGCTTCTGATATTTAACATTTAAATACAACGTTTATCGATTAAAAATGGTCTTTCCAAGGCGGACGTAATGAAGGGCTATTGGAAGTTTAGAAGCAGAGCAGACAAATATTGAATGGCTAAAATAGCTGAAAATTTCAAGACAGACATTGTTTGCCGTCAGAAAAAAGTTTGAAAATTCTGAAATTCTTTGTTGGGAACGCACTTTAGAATAGTAGACAAAATATAATTACTTCATAGAATCAGTTTTTATTTTGCCCATCACACAAAGCAACTCCTAACCACTATTGAAAATTTTCTGACTCAGTAAAATGAGCATCGAAGACTTTACAACAGTTCAACTTTATCAACAGTTTCTGAGTTACATGACCAAAAGAAGAGATCTTCCCTGGTACCAGATTTTGGAGACGGTATAACCATGACCAACTGGAGAATCCAAAGAACTCCCGACGGGCACGGTATAACCCATCACCTGAAAAATAATTTTATTGGGGTTAGTCATACGAGTACGTATTGTCACAGTAAGATAGTAATTTTAGGATTATAATAAAGCTCATTACGATTATCTGCTTAAGGGGAGCAAAGCCTTTATAGAGGAATAAAGAGTAAAAGGGCTTAGAAACAGGGAACTAACTCATACTGATGTTGCAAAAAGAGCATTGTACCGAATTGGGGGCAAGCATGAATATGTTACGATGAAACACCGAAATCTGGAGAATGTCAACATTCACATAGTCTCTTGGTGTATGTCCGAAATACTTTCCAAATACTCTTATTTCTGACTTACACCGGTCAATGTCGACATTCACCATGTACTAATGGTGAATGTTGAACATATAACAATATTATATTTTCTTCTCCGTAATTCAGTCGCGAATAAACGCACTTTAAACGTGAAATAAGAACATAACAACATGAGAACCTAAAAACACACAATACATTCAAAATGAGAAAGGAAAATAATATCTATGATTGTCGACATACACTGGTGAGGGTTCGAATATACAAGAATGTAGTGAAATATTCGGTCTTTCACCGACGTATTTGGTGAATGTTGATATTCTCTGGTGAAAGTCGACATTCTCCAATTTCGGTCTTTCACGGTAACAAATATAAACAACGTCACTTAACTTTCGTTACATGGGTCCACCAGCAGCGGAGTACAGTCGCTGAACACTGGTAATTCGGTCGGAGGTTCGAATCCCGCGAACGGTCCGACTGCATAGGCGCTTTCGTGGTTTTCCACATGTGCAACGTGTATATGAATCAATTTCCCTTAGAAAGTCCCACACGAAGGCATCCCTTCCCTTAGGCAGATAGCCCTAGTGTGCTTTGCCGTAATCTCAATAAACCAAACCAGCTAAAACTTTCGTTACAATATAAGGTAAACCATGAAGAACTCCTGCATCCAGTTTGTTCTTTGTAATTTGACGAAAAGTCGAAGTACCAGAATTTTTAACAATTTTATCCACGCGGGGATTGCTGAGGTGAAGAAATACGAAATGCTGAATTATCATACGAAATTAGATTGTGGAAAAATTGCTTTAACACAGAACACAGTAATCTCAGCAAACGCAACGAAATTTCAAAAGGTTCATTTTTTAATGCATTTCTTACTCCATTAAAACATCTTAATAAAAAATATGAATGTAAATTAAATCATAATTATAATGACATAAATAAAGAAGAATTGCTTACTGAAAGAAAAGTATTCCAGAGTTTTATACATGTTGTTGCTTAGAAAGAAGAGGTAGAAAGCTGGCAAGATCAGTGCTTTGAACTTTTGCAGATTAGTCTAAAATACAGAAACTTGCAGCACGAGGAATTTTTTTAATACAAGTCGATTAAGAAACACCGAAGATCTAATCATGAGTGCTTAATGTTTAATAACTTACTGAACTATCTACAGAACACCATATACAATACAACAGCAAAATTACAAAAATTTTAGAAACAGCATAGTAGAGCTCCTATGTAATCCAGCTTGTAATCATTGCTCGAACAGTTTCATGTGAAACTGATGTAGAAAGGTTTTCAGTAAATTCTGCAGAAATCTTTACAGCACTCAAACTCGGATTTTTCACAAATTTTGGAAATAATCAAGTTGAATTAACTTTGCCGGATGAGATCTTCATTATCGATTCGATTTTCTTCTTTAAAGGGTTTTATCGCATACTGTACTGCATAATGGGATAAAGTTACTTATTTAGCGACATCCCAGATCTATTTTGCCCCTTCTAATGAAAAATGATTAGTTTTAGAGTGATATTTATTGTTTCCTTACGACTACGACAAATTTTGAAATATTAATTAAATTATAACAAAGCAAGCAAAGAATAAAGCCAAACGAATTTTTAAACGTCATCAAAATGAAAAAAAAAAATGTATCAAATTATAATTTTGTTCATGAAATTTTACGAAAATGTTTGAGTGTACGATCACTTTTGTGGCGTGTTTTATCTATGACTTTTTACATTTTCAATTTTAGAAAGGGAAAATAGGTCAGTATTAAAAGAAGAAAAGTTTGATTTTATTCAAAATCGCATGGAGATGATACGAAAAATATTACGCTTTATTATTCGAATTTTAATTCCTGGCTACACCGTTTTTTCTACAAATTCTTAAAATGTTCGAACACTTGTGGGAAGTTTTCTTTGTATATATATAATGCAGTTTCTTTCTGCCTGTTTACAGACATTTTCTAGTAAGTATCCATCAATATTATGATGGGTTATGACCCGGAATCAAATCCTTTTCTCATTTTAGATTTAAAATTGCTTGAAGCAGATACTATTTCTGAAGAAATCAAAAGACGAGAAGGCTTTCGAAAAAGCTCAGACGATAGCAAAATACGAGTAAGTTAAAGGCATATTTTCTTGAAGTAAGTAAAGCTTAGATGTATTCATCTGTTTTGGAAGATTTGCTTTCAGCCTGATAGTATATCAGATAATTTCACTATAGCTTTCGAATTATAACTAATAGCAATAGAAATAAATTTTAAGAGGAGAAAATAGTTTTTAGGATGATAACAGCGTGTATTTCGTAATTTCGATTTTGAATTTAATATATTTTTCAATGGTTTCCCTGATGCTTTTCAACAACCAGTTTGGTTTTTCAAGATTTGACTTAGGCAGGGGTTCTCAACCTGTGGTATGCGTACCACTGGTGGCACTCAAGAGAAAAATATGTGGTATGAAAAGTAACAAAGTATTTTTAACTATTAAATTCAAAAACTAAAACCCTCAACATCCTGCTTGAGGTTTTTCTCTGACGCTCGTAAATTTATGCGATCTGAGCTTTGTTAGGAGTGAAGGCGGTAGTAGTACTTTGTAGTGGTGGTACTAAACGCGTTAATCAAAAGGTTGAGAACCGCTGACTTAGACCATTTTGTAATAATATTAATTTAAATTTAAATCATGTTAAAAAGAAGTAATAAAGTTCACAGTCCGAAAGACTGCCTTTTAATTAAAATCATTAGAAACAAAGTGTTTTCAATAAAATGTTCTTATGTAATGTTTTTATGCACTAAATCAAAGAATCTCAAAATAATCTGCAAATTAATAAAATATGTATTTTTTAAAATCATAAATACTAATTTAATGAATAATACAGTTAAATGATAAAAGCAAAAATAATAATAAAAGTTACACACCCTATATTAAAAGTTAATAATGTAATTAAAATGGTCTTTTATTATTTTCATTCTTGCTAGAATACCGCATTTTCAATTGATTTTACTTATTTGATTATTACAAAACGCACAAGGGCTATCTGCCTAAGTAGAGGGATGCCTTCGTGAATGATTTTCCAAGAGAAACTGACTCGTATTAACGTTACGCATGGGGAAAGCCACGAAAACGCCTATGTAGCCAGCCTGTTTATTTACAATCGAACCAAGGTCGAACAACTAGGATTCAGAGACTTAAAGTGTTAGATCTGGGTTCCAATTTCGGTCATTTTTAAGTGTACAAGTTCTATTTTTAATGTCATATTTTTGTTATAGGAGCCAATTTTGTCATAACTTCTCGATAATTTTTAATTAACTACTTAGTTTTTACCTATTTAAGCTTCATTCATGGCAATATTTATAATATTTTTGGAACAAATAGAAGTCTTGGAACAACAGTTCATATAAAAATTAAATAATTAAATGAAAATGTTTATTAGCGCTTGAGTTTTGGCACTAAAGTACTTTTTAAAATAAATCGTAGGGTGATAATTCAGCAAATATATATTTTATAATATTCTTTATAGGCATGCGAACGATACTATCATGCTCGAAATTATCAATAGCTAAATTATGCATAGCCGGACATCAAGCAGTCTATTGGTCAAAAATAAAGCGAATAATCTCTACAAAATGTTTCTTTCCTCGCCTTATAAGAGTTATAGAGTGACACATAAATTCTGAAGAATTATTCAAAATAGTTATAAAAGTATGTATTAAACTATTTAGCTTGAGGAAAGCAGACGGTCAGTAGAACACAGCGAATCATAATAAAAGAAAAAAAAAAAAAAAAAAAAAAGAGTAAAATCAAAGTTGAGAACTTGATTCTTCTTAAGACCGATGGATTTCATTTCCATCGAAAAACCATTCCTCATTCCAAGCAGGTGGGAAATTCTTTTTTATATTACCAGCGGGCTGTGGAACATTCATATTGAAGACTAATCCCGTTGCTCAGGGTTTATTCATTGTTCCAAATAGCCAGACGCTTGTAAAATAAAGCATTCTTCCGAAACTTTCAGTTAGACGACAACAACTTGCAGTTTTTTTACTTGGCTACAACATTTTTCTTTTTTTTTGTAAATATTTTCGTAACAACGAAACAAATTGTTAGAACATCACAACTTTTACAATCTGCATAAATTATCTCTATTTTGATATAATGATGTATTTATTTTTATTATTATTGTGGCATTGAACTCCAACATCGCAACTGAAACATGCCTTTCTAATTAAAAAAGGTTGCCGACCTCTGCCTTAAGCGATTTCTCAGGTGTATTGGCTTAACCCTTTGCGGCGCAGTGTGTCTGGTCTGGACACACCTAAAAATTTCCTTCTGTACGCACAGAAAAACTGAATGAAAAAGGATTTATAGGTTACTATAGGTTACCCTGAGCCTTCTTTATTTATAGTAGATGGCAGCTCAACCCAAACCAGTCCATATATTTTAGCCATGTTTAGTTTTTTAAGACTCTTATTTTTAAAGAAATCTTCCAGATTTTATTTTAGGATGTAAAAGGAATTGTTTGGAAAGAAATTTCTATGTTGTTTTCTGGCTGTATGCTAATCTCCTTATTCTATATTAGTTTTAAATTTTTACCTTGAAATCTTGCCTAAAATCAAACGGCGAACCCTAGGTGTGCCCAGACCGGGCTCACAAATAATCTAGGGCAACTGAGAGTCTGTATTCTTTGTTTTTCCGCATCTCATCGGTCAGTTCATTGACAACAATGCTCGTTTCAGCACTCGTTTCGAAGCTCTATTCAATCTGTGTGCCACTTTGGACACACGCACATACTGTAAAGGCCCTTATTTTTGCGAGCCGTAATTTTCGCGAAAATGAATATATCGGTGATTTCGCGAGCTGAAAATTCGCGAATTTTATATGAACAGAACAGAAAGTTGAAAAATTTCAAAAGTACCTAAGTAAAGTTGAGAAAGTTGAAAAATTCCAAAAGTACATCTTTTGCATAAAACATTTTAAGAAACTTACTTTTGTCCGAAAAGTTTGTCCCCCCCCCCCCCGCGTTACCGTCTAAATGGCGAGTTCAAGCGTTTTGCTCAAGAATGAGTTTATTGAATGGTATTCTAATGAGCTTCAATTTCTAGAGGAAAAAGAATCTGTAGACTTGCGAATATTACGACTAAAACCGATTCACGCTTCTTGGCTTGTGCGCGTATTTAACGGCATTGAAGCCACACATGAGATAATTTTGAATGGCTTCAAAGAAGCTGGTATAAATAGTATTCTAAGTGAATGAGCTGCCTTCTATTAATTTTATTGTTTTACATTCGAGAAATATAGTTTTATATTATTCAAAAAATAGTTATAAGAAAGAAAGTTTTCAAGAAAAAGCTTATAACTGTGCAATAAATCATTAAATTTTGGGTAAGTGAAAAATTTCTGATTTTTTATTATTATTTGAGGCGGAAAGAAAAAAGTATTTCGCGAGGCTTAAATTTTCGCGATTACGACGGGCTCGCGAAAATTAAAGCCTCGCGAAAATAAGGGCCTTTACAGTAATTAAAAGGATAAGTGCTATCTTCACGAAATTTTACTTGTGTACTCCTCTAGGCCTAATTAGACTGCCTACCTTTTTTTTTAAATTTTTTTATTATTATTATTATTATTATTATTATCAAAACTTCGACTTTAAAATGCAGCATGGCGGAAAGGACTAAATAAGGAAACCCATCCCAGATACTCAATACATTTATTTACTATTGAGCTACGTAAATTTAATTTAGTTTGAAAGTAAAAACATTTTAATTGAGTAGAAAATAGAAGTAGAAACATGCATATTTTCTTTTTATATACTATTCCAGAGTATTAATAACGGGACATAGTACATTTTCAAATTACATTTCATTTTAAATAATTTACGTGCTTTTATTTTTCGAAATAATTTTAAACTGCGCGAGGAAATTTTCACGAGTTTTCATTAGTTACATTGGAAAGAAGTTTCCAGATAATTCGATTTTATTTGATTAACAATTTAAAAGTTAAGATCAAGGTTTCTTTTATTATTAATGTTAAAATCACGCATTATTTTTTTTATAAACACAGAAATTTCTTTTGAAATATGTACTAAAATAAAATATAACAGGCTTTTTAATTTTTCCAAGATAACTAACCAAAAATCATATTCGAAACAATGATGAATTGTTTAAAAATTTATTTCATATTAAACTAGTTTTTAATTTAATTCATTAATGCTTTTACTTCAAAATTCTGAGATGGGGAGTAGTTTTAAAAAAAGGATTTATTAATATTTTTAAGACATGCAACTAAATTATTTTAAAAGGTAAATTTGAATAATGATATAATTTTCGCCACATTTAAAACGTTTTTTGGCTTTGTTTATTGAACTGAATACTGCGAAGCACATGATGGTTACCTGTCTAAAGGAAAGGAATGATGTCTTCGAAGAGGAATTTTTAGGGGAAGTTTCATCTTATTTATGTTATGCATGAAGGGAATTCGAAAATAGCCATGGGCACAGCCTTGTTCGCTAGGGTCTGAACTACCTGTACTCAGTGGTTTTATTTAATCCGCCTTGGTGGGTTTTAAAAGTTTGTTAACTATAATAAAATAACTCGTTTAAATGAGTAATTATTAAAGTAACCCATTTAAATGAGGTAATGACAAAATTATAATTTAAAATACTCGGAAGAGTTTTCGCAAAGTTTAAAGTTACAAATTTTCAATTAAATTGACTGAAACAGAGTACACTTTTTTGTTATTTCAATCTAAAAAATCTTAACTATTTTATTCCTACGTTTAGAAAGGTCACAGAAAATGCTTATTTGTCAGTTCTGTATGAAACATAAAAATTGCTATCTAATCAGTCTCTAAGGAACATCCATCGGAACAAAAATTTTTGCCCACTCATTTCGAAAATGTCCCTCTTTTCGAAAAAAATGCTTCTTTTTTTAGCTTTTATCATAGACCGATTGTTGTGTAGTTTTGGCTTGAACTGTCTGGAAACATTGACCCTGTAGAATCATCTCGAAGATAGATGTCACGTTATATATACAAGTATCTTTTACAGAAAGTAATGTTCTCTGACACCCAAATTCCAATACTGCACTTGCCAAGTATTCCGCGAGTTTTTTGGAAAAAGAAATATGATTATGTGTTTAATAGAGCAACCAGGATATAAAATCGGAACTTTTTCTCTTTTGCTCTAGCATTCTCAGTATTTATCAGACTTGGATCCTCTTGGAGCAAAGCTGTCCATTTCTTGCCCAATGCTGAAAGACTTGGAGAAGGATGATGTGCATCCCAAACTAAAACACTGGCATCCGTTATCACGAAAGAAAATTTTATCACCCGCTCGAAGAATTATGGAAAAAGTAACGAAACATCGAAAGACTTAGAAAAATAAAACAATTTACCCATAGAAAAAAATTTAACATTCCAATTTTCACTGCAATTCCAATTGTCATTTGTATTCACTTGAAAACTTTTAAATGTTACTTTTGGCAGGTTTTTTAGAATGATGTTTTAATGGGATTGCATCAAAATAAATTTAAAAATTGATTGCACTTTTTACTTTTTGGACCATGCTCAAGACAATAGAATTGCAGTATTATTTAGAAATGAATTTCACAGTTTCATCGAATTTTATTTTCAAATCGAAATGCGGCACTATCTTTATTCTTGCATGCTAATTAAATTGCGTTCCATACTAAAGTAAATACTCCGTTTAAGCAAGTGGGAACAGGAGGAATTAAAATAACCAGTTTTCATTTTTGGGAAGTGAAGATGGATTTCTCTGATAAAAAGCAATTATTTTTGACAGAATTACACGTATAACTTATACGTATTCTGCATAATCTAAATTTCGTTTACTCCGAAACTGGCTCTAAAAACGCTGTATAACGCTACATTTTTTAGAAATTAGAATTTTCATAACAAAATGACACAAGCTGAAGAAAGGGGGGGAGCAAATTCAAGAAGTTTTTTTTAATCGTATGTTAATTACAAACCTATTACTATAATTAACAATAAAATACAATATCTACCTACGGTAAATTAAAAAAAAAAATTGGGTTGACGGTAAAGCATATGAATGCTGTTTGTCTTAGGAGGAATATTTTTGCAGAGGATTTCTTTAGAGAAATTAATTTGCATACAAGGTGCATATTGGAAAATCCATGAAAAATTTATGACTTTTAAAGTCTGATGATGACTTTTAAAAGTCAGTACATTCGTCGAGATCTGAGCTATGAGTTTTCAGCCTTCTTATTCGACTCGGACACTGATAGGTGCATAAACCTTAGTAACTGTGAACAAAACATTTTTTTTATAAATGTTAAACATTAGTGCTTAAGCCATTTCACAGGCTTTTCAATACTTTTCAACAGTGCCCTCATACCAAAGTGCAATACAATTATTTGAAAGTTCAAAAAACATAAACTGATTGGAGCCACACAAAATACAGTTTGGGAAATCCAGCACTCCAATTCTGTAGAGGTAGTCTCGCAAACAGTAATGTCCAATCCAGACGTCTAAATAAAGCCACAGCTATCTTTCTTGGAAGACTGGGAATTGTTATTTCTCCTCCCAAAATCCTCCGAATTGTTATTTCTCCTCCCAGAATCGTCCATCCTTGAATCCGTGAAGCGTATTTTTGGAATCTAAGAATATGACTGCCTTTACAAAAGATTGGCTACGAATCGACAGTTGTTGAATGGCCACCACAGCAATGGCTCCGATTTTCCCTATGAAAGGTAGGAAGACGGCCATTAGTAAGTAGAAACTAAAAAGCTCACTATACCTGCCATCCCCTCCAGGCTCTCTCTAACATAGAACCGTCAATCAAGCATCCACTCATTTTGAGAATATTTTTTTTTCCCAATGGCAAACACTTGCCTATAACGGCATTTGCCCATTCCTAAGGCCAGAAGTGGTAGCCAGTTTATTGTGGAGGCACTTAACATGTATGTATGTGAAGAACAAAATGTAATCGTTACATAACGATGGCCGTTACATTGATTATTTCATAGGAGGTTAAATAATCGATTTTCATTTTCGGGAAGTAAAGACGGATTTTTCTGATATAAAGCAATTATTTTTGACAGAATTACATGGCCATCGTTACCTCCTATGAAGGGACAGACAATTTTACATGCCTGCCTTCTCCGAGATTCGAACCCGAGCCCTTTGGTATAGTTAGCCAGACTTCCCTAACCATTATACCGCCAGGGCCGCATTTTGAAGATATCGAGCCCCAATAGTCTCCATTGCAATAAATCTTGATTATGAATCGCTCATTCCGTTTTTAACCACTCTTTGTACAAGATCAAGATTTATATTCAAATTAAAAAAAAAAGCCCAGGGACAAGGGGGAGGAGTTAAAGTTACATAATCTCGGCTCAATTCCAAGGTAAATTAACAGGGCGCAGCCCTCAGCCCACCCAACCAAGAAAACTTGGTCATATGACTTATCACAAGGGCCGGCCCATCTAACAACAAACGAGGGGCCAGAGACCCAGCCGTGCTCAAAAACTAACAAAGAGAAACAAACAAATAAAATATTAATCTATTAATCCCGGGAAACCAAAAGCCCCAGGAACCGAGTAACAAAAAAGTTAGAAAAAGGAAAACTAAACAAAATCATAAATACGACCAGTGAATTTCATGTCATCACTGGACCTTAAACATTCACACAAACGAACAAAATAAAATAATAAAGAACTGTTAGAAAATTAAAAATAAGACAACACATAACCAAGCAAATACAATACAAAAACACCATTCACACATAGATTCCTATGGCTTCTCTTGAGCTATTCACAATCTTCATAATTTGTCTAGAATATTCCACAAAGTTCTTATAATTTTTCTTGAAATCACTTCTATAATATTTTTGATATCTATCCCTTGCACTCCCGGTAATAATACAGTTCTCAAAGAATTGTCCTGCAATCCAAAACGTTTCAAATATGCAGGAAAGCGTCCATGTCCCGTAAGCATTTGATTAACATCTATATCTTTGTATAACTTCATTTTCTTTTCAATATTTATATTTTTCAGTAAACCACAATTTCTATTAGATTGTTCCCAATTATTTTTCCATTCGCTCAATATGTAATTATATAGTGTAGAGGTGGCCCTTCTTCTAGAGGGCCACATCTACTCCAAGGTATCAGATTCTCCCTAAGCACCCTGGATAAAGCCAATTTTAAGTTTCAAAATTTCTAGAAATTTCATAGTTCCTCCAAAACGATTTGTCGGACAAGCGCACAAGCTTCTGGCATATTGCACGAAAATATAATGATCTTAGTATTAAAAGTGCCATCTTAACATGTGGACTACGTTTTAATAATTTTTTTATTATTCAAAGAGAGAGCTGGTGTAGGTAACGGACTCCAGAAAACTACAAGAAATCATAGCTAAAGCGGCTTCTCGGTCAAATAGTGACCTTCGAAGGTCACTGTCAAATAAAGACGCCCAAATTAAGGCATCACATAGCTAAGGAACACCTTAGCTATGTGACTTACCTTTGCTTTAATGGATAAAGAAGGAAGTCATCCGAAATAATATTAAAGGTAGTTTTACTTTTTAAGGTGTACGTAGTTTCGGTTATTCGTGTGTTTATGTTGTACACTTGAAACAAACTTCTGAAAATATTTAAATATTACTTTAAATCTATACTACGGACTTCCTCTGTTATACATTTTGCTTGACAGCTGTAATCATAACACTAGTATGAAATAAAACCTTTCAAAAAATAATTGTGGTCAGAAATTGTTGAATTCTTTTCTGTTTGATTTCATACTATATTTCTATCTAAAAAAATATTCTTTTATGCTTAACAATGAAAACTTCGAAAATAGTTAAACTTAATGTTAAAAAAAACAGAGAACAATACTAATGCAGTTTGATAAAATTTATTATTAAATAATGTTAATTTTATAACATTTTATAATTATAGTACAAAGTCCGAAATTCAGACGTCCAACATCCGGAATCCACTGGATCACCAGCAACCTTTTTTCTTTTATACGCTTGTTTGTTTGATACTTTTTCATAATAAAACATGCGTAGATCGGGTTCCGATTCTTAATTTCATTTCGGAAATGACGTCAAACTGGCGAATCATTTATTATTTTGTGCTTGCATCACGGCGTGATTATCAACACAATCCAGCTTGAGAAATGACTCGTGAAGCAATATCTAAACAAATTAAAAAAAAAAAAAAAAAAAAAAAAAAAAAATTCAATTCTTGAATCCCAAAGAACATGGTAACCTTTTACTATGATACATTACGCTTGGCAATGATTGCAGACTTCAGCTAACTCCGCTATGAAATTATTGAATGTGTTGACAAAAAAAAAAAAAAAAAAAAAAAAAAAAAAAAATATTGCTGTTTGATTTGAGAATAACTGATTTGTTATTCAAATAAATCCAGGATCAGTGTCAGAGCTGGTGTGGCCGCACAGGGTGGCAGAATTTAGGGGAGACAAAATTTTTAAAATTTAGATAAGCGCGAAGCAACAAAACTAAGAAATGGCAAAATCTTTAGATTTGGATGATGCACTGGGATGCAAAATGTTTAGCATTTAGGGAGGTGATCGGCAGCAGAATATCATGAGAGACTGCACCATGCAGCAAAATGCCTAGCAAATAGGCCTTATATGTAGGAATTTAATTATTCGGCGCTCAGATAAGCCTTAAGCATGTGCAGGAACCAGGCGCAAGTATAATTCGAGCTAAACTTTGTGCGATAGCAGCAAAACAAAATTTAACGGAAGATGTCTTCAGTCGCCAATTTCACGATACATCGCCAATAGTGTAAAGCGGACATTAATTAAGCTTTATGATGAAAGCTGCGAATTTGAAGGTGTATAAAAAGCAAAGTTTTCCAATTAATGGAATTTTATACCAAAATGAGTCTTATAGCTTGTTCGGAAAATTTTCGGAGAAAGCAGTGGAAAACTAAGTTACCTGATTTCGTTAGTGTTAATACCCCTATTACGTATTTAAATGCTGCCAAAAGCATTCTTGTTAATGAACTGTACCAAAGTGGCAGTCTTACTGCAAAGCTATTCTGGTAATAGTACTATCTGGTAAACATTTACAAATGACTGCTGCCTATTAGCAATAGTTAGTCGAAGTTTAGCAACAAGGACTCTTGCGCTGTTTAAAATAACGGGTCCTAACAATAAACAAGTACATTTTCTACTTTTGATCTTAAAAGTCCTTCTCTTGACACATTTATCTGGCTTTCACCACACAAAACTTAATACTGATCTTAACATATGTCAATGTCTGTAAAAAAGGAATTTCTTTGTTAATAAAGGTATTAAAATTAATAATTTATGATTAATCTTATATATCTGAATGCACAATATTCTAATTTCATGAAGTTTTCTGAATTTGGTCTCACTGTTGAAATTACTGAAGATGAGAAATTCTTTTGCACGTTCTATATACATGCAGTTTTTTTGTAAAGAAATAATTTTAAACCTGAAAATTCAGGGCTGAAAGAAAATTTATGGAGGAAGAAACTGATTACATAAAGGAAAAGGAGATATTTTTGCAAGAATATTGTTATGAAATGCCCAGCTGCGCTGACAGCTTCCCTGCAAAGCGGGATTAGGATTGCCAGAAAGTGCCAGCAATTGATTTATACTTTATTAGGATTCGAAACCAGTTGCACAAAATAAAGTAGGAAAAAAAGGAATTGTCTAATGGTAACACACAATGAAACAGAAACAAAATTTCATTTCAAATTTTTATTTCAATTGCTTAGTTTATCTTATGTGTATTTAACAGTGACCAACTATTTACACTTGTAACTGCTTTTCCATCACATACAAGCAGCCAGCAATAAGAATACAGCATGTTTCTCCAGACTAATGCAACAGAAACCCAGAATCAAAATTTTACTAAACAATGCATACAGTAATTTTCAAAAAATACACTTTCCTAAAATTATTAATTTTTAAAATCAGATCTATTTTAGAAGGACTACTGTTATGAAACTCTCCCCCCCCAAAAAAAAAGGACAAAAAGGGAAAGGACATGTTGAATTTTTATAATCACCTAATATAAATTTTACATCAATCTAGTCTGTCTTAAATTCTGCAGCAGATTTGTTATTCTAATCATGAATATCAGAAATAGACAATTTTGAAGTTTTTTTATCAGTAATAGATAATTTCAATTAAAATTTTTTTTTCCAAATTCAATTAAAATCTATTAATTTAATTATGATTTTAATTCTAATCGTGTTTTTCTGAAAGCATTTAAAGCCTTATTTTATATTTTCCCCTTTCATTTACATTTTGTTCTTTACATACTGTAAATGCATCTAGTTACAGTATCCACAGAGTTACAGTTCTGCTTTAATACTTTGTAAACATTTACAGATTTGGTAAATTTGTCAAATTTGCTGCTGAAATATCTCTTTCTGCAATGTTAATGATTAAAACAATTTCTAGATTATTACATACACAAAGATATATTTATTATTTACAAATGAAAATTTACTTAGATATAAGCTGTGAAAATATGAAAAATACATAAAAGAATATAAAAACAAACTGAAAAAACACTTTTCGAATTAAAAAAAAAAAAAAAAATAGTCTTGACCGTTAATTTTGTTCAATAGTGGCAGCATTAACAATGGACATAGATGTTTGTAAAGAGAAATAATTGTTTTCTGGCATCATCTACTCTTTCAGTACTAAAAGGCTGATAGTAGTTAGTGTTATCAACTTGATGTATTGTGAGTGGTATCTTAGAAACATGTCCAGAGCAGTTTGTATGATCACATGCTATCATGGATGATCATGAAGCTAGACATATTGGAACGGATGCTAACATTCTCAAATTGAGTGGGTTATGATCAATCAACTCTAATTTAACTAACATCATGCCTATCAAGTTAAAAGTTTTAATTAGTCCCTTTATTGTAAATCTCTTCTGCATTTTGAATCCATTTTAAATGTAAATAAACAACAAATGCTAAAAATGATAAACAGAATAAATATTGTTTGAATACAAAGAAATAGATAAGAAAAGGAGGCATTGTTTATGGTGCTATTTATAATTAGTAAGTTTCAATTCGAATGTTATGGCCTTTTCGTTGATGAATGTAAGGTATTTCATTATTTAATACATGCTTTTATGGCAAAATAGCAAAGAATACTTTTATGTTCTTTTTCAGTTTTGGTTAATATATACCAGTTGTTAGAATTTTCTTTCTTTTATTTAAGACATGAAGTTTGGCAGAACATGGCAGAATAATTTTGTTAACAGAACTAGACATGTTCTGAATTTTCTTAAAATTTGGAGTGTTGTTTGAGTATAATGTTAGCCATACCCCCCCCCCCAAAGCAAAACAGGGCTAAAACCAGCATGCAGCTTATACATGTGAATGGAAAAAATATAAGAAAGGCTACAGTACTAAATTACTTCAATATATTATGAACTGCTATCAACATCATAGAACGAAGTCATTAAAGGTACATTTTTGGGAGCATTTAATGCGAATGCAAAAATATTTACACAAGAAAGAACTTATAACTGAGAAAACAGCATGGTTTATAACAATAAAATCATATCTTATATGGAAAAATTTAATATATGCATACTCAAAAACATGATTCATATTTAACCTTGCTCACTGCTTAGTTCTAAAAATAAAGGATTTCTGGTACAAGAATGAGCTGTGATGCTCATTTTAAACATGACATGCTGAAGAAAAATGCCATGACAGCAGCAGAACAATATTTTGGTGTAAGTGACATATATTTATCATATAAGAAAACAGACGGAAAAACTTGCTAAAAAATGGCAAAAGAAAGGTCTTTTGGGAGAAAACAGCTAAATATCCGCAACTGGAAATGGAATTTGGTCCTTTGTAAATGTTAAATGTAACGGCTATTTTGTAACCATACAGGAGACATTTATGCAGAAGCATCAAGAACAAAGACAAGCTGTGAAGCCTCTTGAGCTAGTCACACATTTTATGCATAGGAATAATTCTTCATGCCACATGACAAAGGCTGCACATCTGTCTGATTTTAACGATAGAAATAATAAAACTAGATGCAATGGTGAAAAAAAAAATTAACATGGAATATGTAATGCCTAGAAAGTACTCAGATTAACACAAAAGAATAATGAATCTGATGCCATGATAACTACAGTTCTTGTGAATATAAGAGCATACTCTAAATGCAGGTTGTAAAACTATAAATTGTCCCACTGATATCAGTTACTCTAAACTGTATATTACTTAATAATTTTGAGATACTATATAATACTTAGCAATTTTTAGATGTAATTAATGCAAATATTAAAATTATTTCAGCAATTTTATGGACATAGTCTTATTTTCACGTATGTGTAGAAATAATGAGCTCATACGAGAAATGCACAAAATCTCTTTCAAAAACTTTTTGCTGCTTTCATCTAGGTAGAATAAAAATAATAATAATAATAAAAAAAAAAAAACTTAATTGGGAGGGGGAATCAATAACACCACTTGTACAGGAGAATACTCATACCCTTTAAAACTACACAAAAATAAAGGCTAATACATGTAAGAATAGAATACTGCAGTCCAAGCTCTGAGATATACTAACCTAGCATGATAAACATTCATAACATCAAAAGGAATTTTCTAAGATGAAAGATAATGATTGCTTTAATGTTCTGATACAATTAACAGCTAGTTAATTATTTGGTTTTACAATATTAAAAAAATTGTAATCCTTAAACTTTGGTACTCAACAGTACATATAAGTATAAAGCAAACTCCTAATATTTCCTTATACATTATTTTGGGTTTCCATTGCATTTATTTATCCAGCAACTGGAGTTAAATACAGTAAAAGAAAATCACATTACTCTTTTTAAACTCTTGGCATACAAATATTTGGAAGCAACAAATACTTCATTAGAATATGAATGTTAAGCAGTAGTATTTGAGCACTTTGAAGGTGAACATTTTATAGACATCTTTGTTCAATTGTATTACTAGAAATTCAAAGAACTTAGTATTCTATAAATCAACTCTGCAGACAGTTTTACACAATAGCATTCTCTTTAAAATTCGGATACTTGTGTATTTAGTTCATTCATAAATTAAATATATAAAATTCATAATTAAAATATTTAAATAAAAATGACTTCAAATAAAATTATAAAAATGCACTGTAATACAAATTTAAAACAGAAAAGTAAATTTAAATATACAAGATAATATATATTTATATATATATATCTCAATCAAAATTAATAAATACAATATACATATAGATATTTATATATTTACGAACATAAACAAAGCAACAAGAGCTTATCAACTGAACAGCAATGAAAAGAATTTCTTTCATCTGTTAAAAAAAATGATAAGAAATTCAAAGAACTTATGAAAAAAATGAAAGTGTACAGAAGATTGATGACGAATATATAATAATGTACAAAGCTACAAGTGCAATAATATAGAGCACAGTGACTAGTACCTTTGGTATTTCCAGTTACACTTTTTGGTCATGTATACTGTAGCATACAGTGGTTTTATCTTTCTAAATAATAAAAACAATTGTTCAGAAATGGTAACATTTCAAGATCTTAATTTATAATTTATATACACTTTATAATTAAACACAAAATAATTATATACAATTCTAAAATAATATATATGTGTGTGTGTGTGAATATATATGAATATTTTTACTTTAATCATACTTCAAATACCTAAAAAAAAAAAAAAAAACACACTTCTCAAAAGATCTATGAAAATGTCAGAACTCAAAAAAAAGTATTTTTGTGTTGTGGAGAACAGAATCATCAGTCTTACAAAGAAATATACAAAATTACATCAACAAATGCACTTTTGTTTAACACAACATTCAGGGATGATGGGGGAGGGAAAAAAACAAACACAAATATTTCTGTTGTTCTCCCAGAAGCATTTTCCTAGCCTGGTCATTTTTTTCTTAAACTGACATACAATTAATTTCAATTTTTTTTTTTTTTTTTTTTTTTTTTTGCTTCAATGAAAATGATATATCAGCATTATAAACATTATTTTAGTAAATGCAAGGACATATAATTTATTAAGCATCAAAGAAGAGCAAGTAAAACAATATTTTGCTTTCCCCCCATTCTGGAAATGATAAACAAATGATATAAAACTAAAGCACTGCACTATATGCATAAAAATCAAATGTTTAAATGTATGGATACAATTTTTTTATAAATGCTAATACACTAAATTTTGAAACGTACTATTAAGATAAATAAGATATTTGATTTACACCTCAAAATGAATTGTTAAAGAATCTTTACTTTTGGAATCTTTTTAAGGAGAAAGACTTCAAATTCTGAATGAATGAAAGAATTTGAATTAAAATACTTTATGATATGAAAAAAATTTCAATTAAAATATTTTATGTAATAATTTCGGAATTTTAACATTCAAATTTTGATAATACCATACTTTCATTTTGAAGAGAAATATATATATATATATAAATCTCTTAAGATATATTTTGATAAATGATGTTAAAAAACAGGCATACAAAGTCATGAAATACCACTCAGAAATTAAAAATCTTTTAAGCAATAATATTTTCAATTATTGCTTAAAAGTACAATAATATTTTCTGCCATATGCTATTAAATTTCACATTAGGAAATTTAACAATTTTTATCTACCATGTATATGTATGTGGTATTATAATATTCTGAAACTGAATGTAGTTTGGAAGCTAGTTGTAAACATAGTTTTTTTTTTTCCCTTTTCCTTTCTCTATTTTTTTTTTTAAGTGGCCTATTTATAATCAAAAAATTTCACTGTGACAAAAGATTAACAGATGTGCACATATGTATACAATATAAAGTCATAAAATAAAACGGCTAAAGCATTTTTTTTGATTATAAAAATATTGACCAAACAGAATTATTTTCAAACAAACTTTTCAAATAATAAGTTGTTAAAGCTATATCATAAATTTGCTTTGAAATACTTTTAATTACTGCTTCTTTTCTCTACAATTTTATCTTCTTTGTTTTATAGAATTCAAAAAATTTAAATCATTACCACAGGTACTTATTTTGTCATTTATAAATTATTTTTAAGAACAGTAAAGTAAGATAATAACAAACAACATATATCTCAGATTTTGGGATACAGCAACTTCAAAAAGCATCTGGAACACACTATAACTGATTACAACTGTTATATTTCTCAGTTAAGGTGATTATGGAAAAGCAAAGAATATTTATTAAGCACATTATTATAATTTATTTTTTACTTATTGTTATTTATTATGCACATTATTTATTTTTTACTAGGGAAAAAATAGACGTGTCTAATCATTTACTTAATCACATGCATTTATGCTGCATCTTTACTAGAGATATTCTTTAGGAATCAAATTAAAGACATAACATATTTGAAAGAGAATCACTTTTTAAAAAGGCAAAATATTCCTGTATTTAAATTACTAAGTATAATAACAATTACACAATAACATTATTTATTCACTAGGGTTCATTCTAAGACATTTCTGTTTCCCAAAATACATTGCTCTTTTTGTTTAAAATGGAATATTGTAAAAGGGTACTCAAAATTTAAGACGTTTCCTTACTTTATAAGAGGATATTTTTGTTATAGTATCAAGTGAAGAGAATTCATGTAGAAATTAGCAAAATATGTAAAATGTTCTTAATACATTTTCCCTTTTATTTATTCAGGAATATCTGCAGGATACAAATACAGCCAATGAAACATAGTCCTCATATCTTTTGCTTATGAGCCAAAAGAATGCTGAAAATTTAAAATGCAAATTAATAAGAGATAAAACCCACACCAAGAGAGAATAGGTTAATATGGTTAAACAGAATAGTGAAAGCATCTGATATTGTCTTCCACAATAATCCAACTATAAGTACAATATGATGCACATGCATGATTTGTACCAAGGTTCAGTGCTCATGCTTTGATCAAAAGTACAATACTGATCCCCCTTTTTTTTTCATAAAAACAGTACAGTATTTCTTCATTGCTCAATTCCCTTTCAGTATTAGACTAAATATTGGAATCTTCATATACATATATAATGACAAACAGAGAAAGGAAAGAATACACAGTAAATACAATGCAGCATGTAGTGCATTTATTCTATGCTGGCAATGTTATACTGTATGTAATTTGTTAATTTAATTTTACAGCATTTATTTAAGTTATATCACTATCACATATATTTGTTCACAATCATCTGCCATTTTACTTGTATGTAGTAGCAATTTAAACATACTACTTGCAAATGCCAATGCATACTGAATGATTACATTTTATTTCATTAAATATAGCCTTCTACCTAAGATACTCTTTGCTAATCAACACTACATTTGCATTCACTAATGCAATAAATCTTGAACAAATAAAAAGTCAATTTTAGGATTTATTTGAAAACGAGTGCATAATCAAGTATTGCACTCAAAAATTAACTGAATATCAGGATATACTTATGTAATCACATGCACTCTATTTGTTTTATTCTTAGCTTTAATAATTAAATTTGACTTAAATTTTTACAGGTTTTAATTTAATTAAGTAAGATTTTGGTTTATATAAAAGTAAGTTACATTTTGGCTAATTACATAATATTTAAGCCCTAGACTTTGGATAAAAATATGCATTTTACTTAACTAAAAATTCTGATAGGAATATATTTTGAAAACTGGAAAACCTAATAAAAATTACTGTGCAAATTTAATTTTAATTTTATAATAATCCTAACAAACTTGAAACAGCAATTTTAGAATGAACCCAGCATTCATACAACCTTTTCCAAAGCTCTAAGAATCATACCTTCCACTTGCTATACATTATTTAATATTTAAAATTAAAACTGAGTTTGCAGAAATCATCAGGTTACTTTATGTTAACTTCAAATACTAGGCATTTTGTAAGTAATAAAAGGAATATCTAAAAATCCAGGTATCTTCATATCTCAAGATAAAAATCTTACATGTATCATATCACTGTTTACTGATAACATCGTAATATCTTCTTGTTTTCCCTCATTATATATTTAAAAACAAGCAATCTGGAACTGATTAAAAAAGAAGGTATTATTGAGTTTCACATGAGAAAATATTTCTTTTCTTCTTCACCAATATTTAAAGAGGTTATTTATGGCAGAAGATAGACAAATTATTTGACCAAGTCTCAATCGCAATGTTAAGACATCCTTTTGGATAACCATCATACCTTTCAGTAAGACAACAAGATACAAATATATGCTTGATTATCATCTCTATAATCAACTATCAATTTGTTGTCTTACAAATAATAAATAAAGCTACTATTTAATATATTTACAAAACCATAATTTGGTTAAACTACTGAAGTCGTTCATGCAAAAAAAGTAATAGCTCTTAAAATAATCTGATAAAGAGAAAAGACATTCATTATATTTGCTTGGCAATAATTCAACTTTTTAAAATTATACTCCATAGTTTTCTCACCAAAACAGTTTATTTACAATCATTCTTAGACTATTGCCGAAATGGGCAAAGTTACAGAAGCTTTACAAATCATTCAGATCACTGTGATTCAATACAGTTAAAACATTCTAAAATTGCTTTCAAGCAATGGATATTTTACTTTCTTGTCAAAGCAATAAATTTAATTTTCAGAACCAGTAACTGAGAACATATGCAAAAGTACATACAAATTATTGCAGAAATCATTTCAAAAGCTATTAGATGCCATATGCAGAATATATTATTTTAAAAATTCATTTTTATTAAGATGAACTGAAATAACTATGAGAGAAACATTTATATTTTATAAGCCACATATTTTTATAATAGTAATTATCAAAATTGAAAATACTTGTTACGCATTTATATTAAGAATATACAATAGATAAAAGGATAATTTTGCAAAGCTTCAAATCTCAACAATATTTGAAATTTACTTTATCTTTCTAAAATTAGATTTACATTGGCATTAAGAAAACATTATTTTTAATAGAAGAATTTTATCTTCATCGAATAATATAAGAATACTGCAGTAATGTTTAGCAAGATATATTGGTAAATTACAAGGGGAAAAAAAACTTCACACCAGAGAAAAATAAAATTGTTACATGAATTTAATTTTTCTTATTCCAAACAACTCTTTTCCCCTGTGACATGAAAGACGATATGAAAAGAATAACCTGAGTACTGATGGTAATTATGCCTTTTCCTTAATTTTTATCATAATTTTTCAAAATTTAGATTATAGAATGACAGAAAAATTCTGTTTAAAAACTCTGTTGAAATTAAACTTTTCAAAACTACATTCATGCAAAATTAACTGAAAGTAGAGATATACCTGATACATGGGAGATTCAGTTTATGCAAACGGAAGCAGTAAAGCTTGAATTTTTACTGAAATAAAAAAATTCCTTTCTGGTAAAAAGAAGATTTAAAATTATATTCTTATTGTTAACGCCTTTTGAGATATTTTAATAATTTCTGAACTGTGACTTAATAACACTTTTGTAACAAAGCTTAAAAAGCAAAAGTATGTGAAGTGATCATCCTTTCACTGAAATTCAGGATTTAGAATTTACAATGAATATAATAAGTAAAAATACAGTTTTAAATATATAATAATAGATGGTTACTTAGTTTAGCAAAACTGCAAAATTTCTATAAAAATGGTGATGAAGAAAATTCCTGGTAAAAACAAAATAGACTCAATTTCCATTGTAAATGAAAATAATAATAATAATGGGTAGCTATGCTATTTTTCTCTCTGTAAAGTTCTTCATGCAGAAGTATGCTTCAAAATGCGTAATTACAATACAATAGCTCAAAATATGATTTCTGCAGAGTGCTTTAGAGCATGGGATCCAATTTTTGTTTAAAACTGAGCACGACTTTTGCATAAATACTCTCTTGCTATACAACAGTACATTCTTGCAAAAGTAGCCTGGGAAGAAAAATTAGTTTAAAAATGAGTATAAGTTTAAAATCAATAACAAAATGAGAAAATTAAAAATGTGTTCATTAAATATTTAAATTAATAGTGAATACTGAAATCATATTACAGTTATATAACAATTATGAAATTGTTGGCTTACATATAAAATATATCACTTTTTCTTTACATACGAGATCACAAGATAAAGAGCTATTGAGCATATTCCACAAGGAATGTTTGTAATTTTTTTAAGTTTATTACTCAGCCTAGAACATTAATTTTAAATACTGCTCATAAACATCTTCATAGAAGACTGAAGCCCAAAAGGACAATAGCCAATGATTGCAACATCACAAAAATTAACATAATACTCATTCACCATTCAAGTATGTACAAATGCACACACAGTAATATAACAGAAATTTGTTACATGAATTTCTAAGCAAGAATGTTTTGAGGGATGTTAGAAAACTGACTCAGCAGATCGTGACAAATGAATGGGATGCGACGGACTCCTTGCCAGCCGTTTCTTTGGAAGCTTAGGAAGGCATGAAAGCATCATGAGGATCTTGCTAAACTCAGGACGTTCAGTATCTTTGTAAGCCCAGCATGTCATTAAGATATCCTTTAAATAAGAAATGCTATAAATACAACATGAAGTTTCATAGTATAACTACCGATCTAGGACTCAAAACTAACGTCTCATCAAATATTAAAAATGCAAATTTCATCTATGAAAAATATAAAAATAAAAAAGTAAGCTTGTTATAAGAATAATAATATTTCTCTTCAAATGATATAGAAAAATAATATAATAGTAAGTACCAGGCTTTAATAAAAACCATACTAACGTCTGTTACTTTTCAAAATTTTCATTTATGACTAAAAACCATTAATTTAACCAAAATGACAAAATCCATTTTTCTAATTTACTAGGTATAAAAAGTTAAAAAAGTTACCTCTCAAACATTCAGTAATGCATGGTGCATCACGCTTTTTTTGGGAGAGGGGGGAGTAGAAAACCAACAATTGGTTAACTTTAAAAATGACTAGTTCACAATAAACAATTTTGTTCTGCTCCTCTCTCTCTTAAAAAGAAAACCACGGCTTCCTCATATGACCTATTAAATTATGGACACTTTTTGCAGCACTTCATTTAAACTTATTTCCTCAAATTATTCTTGAAAATGACATTAAAAATTGAAAATTTTGAAATTATATACTCCAGTCAATTTATGTCATAGGGAAATCAAACTTCTCGAATTTTTAATTTTTCATAATGAGTATAAATCTTTCCCCAAAAAAGTGTAGAAATTGGGAGCCCACAAAGTTAAAATTTTGTTATTTGTCCAACATTATTATTATTTTTTTTAAATCTGACATTGCCAAAACATTAATACTTTTGTTATTTAAAACACTTCTGTGGAAGTGTATGACTATGACCAAGGATTATGAAAATAAAGACTGAATAAGACTGAATAGGCCAGGAAAGGTGGTTGGGTGTATATCTATACAGTGTCGACAAACTTTCAGGAGAGATGAGTACACCTAGATGATGAGAAATCACATAGGAATGCATGGCCGGAAATGCTTCAATGGTGCCGTAGTGACGACACAAGAGTCAAGAAAGAAAGGACGCGAACGGGGTGAGAAAACATGTTTATTATTCGAGTTAAAAAAAAAAAAAAAAGGACAACAATCATCATCAAAGAATGCATTTGAAATGACGACCCGGACTATGATGCAGGAAACGCGTGTCATACATCTTCCATTCATGATGCAGATATGTGAGGCCTGCATCATGGTTCGGAGTCGTAATTTCGAACACCTTCTTTAATGATGATCGTTGTTTGTTATTGTTATTACCTGTAGGTTTCTGCTGTACTAAACATAATAAAACATGTTTTGTCTCACTGCTTGAGTCCTTCCTTTTTTGCTTTTTGTGTCATCACTATCGTACCGGAAAGTGTTTCTGACCATGCATTGTTATGTGATTTCCTATTGTCTAGTGATACTCTATCTCTTCTGAACTTTGTCAATGCTGTATTGATACACTCTTTATATAAAATTTAGTATTGCTGATTGCAATAAAAATGGGAGGTGTATAACTAGATATTATAGCAGTCCCATATCCAAAATTTCAATGTTCTACAACTAATTGTTTTAGAGTTATGCGAGATATATACATACGTTTGTACGAAAATACATACTGATATCGTGCAAAAATATCTTTTCAATCCATTTTACAATTTGTCTTGGAAAAAAAGAGTAATTTATTCTGTCTATACATACAGACGTCACATAACAAAATAGTCAAAATGGATATTTCCATCGACATATGGTACCTTAAATTTTTCGTGATTACAACACTTCCTTTATTTCATACAAAGAAAATAAAAATGACCACTATTTAAAAACTGATCAAGGCTCTTTAGTGATTCTTCCTCAGATTTACTGTTTTACCCTACCCTTCCCGAAGAAGACACTGATCTTTTTCCTGCTTTCTTAGCAACCAGTTCTGCCACTCAACTCCACAGCAAATTTGTACATGGTTTGTGCCTGCTATGTCACCATCTATCATTAGCACTAACCTTTTTAATTCTAATTATTCTGACAAATTTTGTACCCTGCTTTCCTTCAGTCAACCATTAAGGCCCGTTTCCACTACTGCATATGGCGTTTCTCGCATCAATAAGCGAATTCACTTTGATTGACATCTGCAATATGGTTGATTTGCAGTGACAGATGGAAGTTGAACATAGTTCAACTTCTATCCATATCTCTGTGGATGCATTGGGGTAACGTGGTAAAAAAGGAGCAATCAGGTGTCATCAAAAACTAATAGCGGCAGAAATAGCGATGAATGCTGGCTCAGGAAAAGTTTGCTAAAAAATACTCATTTTTGAATTAACATTATAGTGAAAATTCTGAGTACTGTAAAAGAGAGCAATCAGCTAATCATAATGAATTCCATTATGGCTGTTTTAGTTGATTTTATAACATTTGATAACAAATCTTATTAAAAAAACAATATTTTATTGGCGGATAGTAAAGAGTGTAAAGAAAAGAAAATTTCATTTATTCACACTTCCTAAAATTATTACAATACGGCAAAAAAATTCCTTACCCCCTCCAAAAAAAAAAAAAAAAAAAAAAAAAAAAAAAAAAAAAAAAGCTGAATTTGGAGACAATTGGAAACATAGACATAAGAATTCACAGTACTGAGAATGCATTCTTCAGCAAAAAAGCTAATAAGTTTTTATAGAGGTCAGAATTATTAAGATTCAATGGTATTTTAAAATTTAAAAACAAATTACCTTGACATCCCGAGAAGCTTGTATATTTGCTAAGGTTTGTTTCACTCCTTTGCCCACCTGCCAAATAATGGCTTCTGGAGGTTGACCATGGAAGGGCCATTCACCACACAAAAGTTCATACCATACAGTACTGTAAAACAAGCATAAAAATATACATCAAAATTTGTTTCACATATTTCACTCAAATGAAATAATTATACATAGCTTTTAAATACATATTATTCTAAATACTCAGGGTATGTTATTTGGATTACAATCAAGCCTCATTTAGCAAGGATCTCTCATAATGAAAGATTCACATAATACATGATGTTGAGACATTTTGATGTCACATTCTGCCTGCATCATAGCTGCCAGTTTGCGTTTAGCACTTGCTCAGTATGCATCTTACTGTCGCTTGTAGAAGTTGCATTCAGACACATTATGTATTTTTTTAGTACAAAATTAAAGCATGCTTACACATTTATCTAAAAAAAAAAAAAAAAAAAATGCTGCAAGAAGGAGATGAGACTGCTGCTTCAAAGGGTGTCACAAGTATTTTTAAGCAATGCTCATATGTTTTCGATGATGTTGAGTGACTGCATCTCACATGGATCCACAAGAGGAAAATGCAAGGTGATGGTATTAATAAAAACATCATTTTACAGAAGGCAAAACTAATTTTTGCCAAACTCATTAAGAAGACACTTGGATCATCAACAGATGATTGGTTGATGTAAATGTGGCAGAGCCTCGAGGGCTATCTGCCCAAAGGGAGGGATGCCCTCATGGAGGATTTTCTAAGGGAAATCGGCTTGTATACACAGGGAAAACCACGATAATGCCAATGCAGTCAGCCTGTTCATAAGATTAGAACCTCAAGCTGAACTACCAGTGTTCATAGACTTTACCACTCGGCCGATGGTGGGCCCCATCAACAGTTGACGAATAAGTATTCAAGGCAAACCATGGGTGGTTTGAAAAGTTTAAGAGAAGAACAAGCATCCATAGCATTGGTGAGACAAGCGCAGACATAAAAGCAACTGAAAACTTCACTGGCATATTCAGGGAGATTGTGAATTTTGAGCTGCAGTAGGTTTTTAACTCTGATGAGAAATGGCCTTCCTGAAGTCAGAAGGCCAAAACTGTCATCAAGCAGCTTAGAGATGAGTCATCCTCTTTGTCATCATTTTGTTTTACCATTAGTCTTGTCACTAGGATAAGATGTGTAGACATTTTTTTAATAACCAAATATTTAGTGCTAACTTTGTCAGTATGTTTTTTTTTTTTTTGTTTAGTCTTGAAAAGGAATACTTATAGCTAACCCAAAATTCTCTGTGTTAAAATCAATGTCAGATGAACATTTTTATTTTCTGGAGAACTTGTGGCTAGAAGCACAGCAGAATATAAATTTACAATCACACCTGTATATGCTCAAGTGAGACGAGACATTTTTTGCTTTAATACACACTATAAAATGCATTATACCTATAAGTAAGCAACTTTCATCAAATGAAACACAGTGTGTACTGACAAGTAAAGTTCAAATCGATTGTTTAGAATCTTGATTTAGTTTACATTGTCAGATGTCAGGTAGTGAGCACTGACTGCATAGGACATTTTAGAGAGGTGAAGTGTACAACATTACATTCTTGAAATGTAAGTGAAAGCTTGAGTGAAGTGTACAACATTACATTCAAACATACTGTAGAATGTCCCAATGAAATGCTTTTTTACAAAATAGCATGTGTATCAAATTTAGTGACATACAATTTTTCTGTATTTGATGAAATTCAAACTGATGTGGACTTAAATGTATCAATGAATGAACAATTACATACATTTTAATACACAGAGTTTGTGACCGAGTACATGAAACTCCTATGTATAACCTACACAGAAAAATTATGAAGTCTGGATAATTTATTGAGTAAGAGATTATGATAACCATCTATTACCCAAACCGCAGAAACCAATGCTAAATGCCAATATTTAGATATGATAAAAAGTGGTCTTAACCTCTTAAGATTTAAATTGCAAATGTGCATGCCATAAACACCAACAAGGTCAGTCACAAGTTGAGCAATTTCATGGTTTGGCTAAGCATTTTATGTGGAAACAACTCCAACATCACTTACGTCCAAATATTTGCACATTTTTATGAAAGATTTATGATAACAGGCTATATTACAGAACTGTCAAATATTAAAGCTATGTTGCCGAACTGCCTGTTATATTACTAAATTACCAAATTGAAAGAACCAATTGCTATTTCAACCAAAGTAATCAAATACACAATTCTATTTACTATTAATGTCTTTGCCTTCATTTGTGAGCTAAGCATGTTAGGAAGTTTCTTTGATCAAGTAAGAAAATATTTCAATAGTAGTTTTAAATGTACTTTTTGACCATCTGAAAACTGAAACAGACAAATTGTGCACTTATCTTTTGATATGTAAATGCATGTATAAGGTAAAACTAATTTTATTTTGCAAGATGTTTGATTAAAAATTATACTAATTGATAACTGAATAAAAAATATTTATTTTCTTGAAGTGAATAATAAATAAACAAAATTTTTGGCACTACCTTAACAATCTGCTTCCCTTCCTGACTAACAAAAATAACAGCAAATTTAAGCAGTGACATGAAGGCGGATGGAATGTTACATGACATATACATGAAGGAGGGTGGAATGTTACAGTGCTACATTTTTTATTACAATTTCTAAATTGTATATTTTAAATTATTCAGATTTTGATAAAATTTACCAATATTTAATAATTTTCAACTATGTAGTTAGTATCTTTCGAAGCATATTGGTACATGTAACGCAACTTAACATGTTTTGCACCCCCAAGTTGTTTCACTATGTTTTTTTGTTTCCTGCAAACCTTACAGGCTTTTGCTTTTGTTTTGTTTTAATTTCAATGGTGTCAGGTTATAAGGTATTTCTCTCACCCTTTTGGCATGCCTTCGTGGTTTGGTGGTCTGCACAGTGGGCCAGTATGCCGAGGTTCGCAGTTCGATTCCATTGCATATTTTTCTTCTTTCCTGCTTCTGAAATAAACCTGATGAATGTACAAGATCTATATGCTTGGGAAAATGACCAACATATTAAACATACATTTTTTCTGGTATTTTTTTTCTTTACAGGTAGAACAAAGCTTTACTGATCACACCTATATTCCATTGGAAAGTTGCCCTTTTCATTTACACTCTGGTAATGGTATATTTTCCTGTAATGATTTGGTTATTAAAATTCTAAATTCAGTTTGTCTTTTGCTAGAATTTTAGTTTTCTGAATCAAATGTATGAGTTAAACACAGCAATATTGAACAGGTCAAATTAAAATTTTCAGTATCTTTTCGCACACTTCCTCACCACAGAGGAGCACACTAGCATTTGGTCTTGCCGATCAATTCTAACCATTCCTTTACTGTATTCAGTGATATATTTTCATTTTCAAGTATGATTGTAATGACTTTCATTGAAATGGTCCAGTCATTTATGCTATTTTCTGTTTCGAAGAAAGTATATAATAGTCATTTATCTTTTCATTTTAATACCAGTACTTCTCATTCAACATTCACCTTTTATAAAAATCTTTTGGCATATTTTTTCTGTTCATGCACACTGTTCCAACCACATCAGATTAACTGTTAAAGTTTTAAACAGTTTGGGTAACAGTATCAGTTATTCAAATATAAAGTATGCAATACTCACTGTAACAGCTCTTTCACAACACTGTCATTACAATTTCTTTATCACTACCTGTGCATATTTTAAAGCCATACCAGTAATCTAATTTTGATGCACATATTTATAAAATTTAATCCCGAATATCGCCTTTTTTGATGATTTATATTGTTTGGAAGACAGTTGCCCCTTATACTTCGTCAACAATTTATCGATAGCAGTGTTCTCTTCCACTGTATATACTTACTTCTGTATTCATCAAAGGTTTTATTTTGCATATTTATCTGTATTATTAGCCAAATTACTATTTGCAAAATGCAAACATTTACTTATTTGCAAAATCTCTTTAATGACATCATTTTTCCAAACATCGAAGTTCTATACTTACCCTCTTAATTCATTTGAATTGTTGGTTTCTAACATCGGCCATTATTATACACAGTGCAAAATACACTTTCATTTGATCATAGTCTACAACAGATATGTTAAACTCAGTACCTTAAGAGGCTAAATACTCATGATTTTATCTTAGTGTGGGCTTCAAAAGAGAGTAAAAGCATTTCTATGCTTAAATGATATATTAAAAAGTGAGTAAATACATAAAATCTTATCTAATGCTGTAGTTCTCTTCATAAAACAGAAGGAAGGAACTCAGATTGGACCAATGAAGTGCGTGGTCAATCTGTTAAAAAAATAAATAAATAAATAAATAAATAAATAAATAAATAAATTAAAAAAAAAAAAAATCTGAAATGTTCAGATTTTAAATTACGTCAAAAGGGCGTTTTTAACATTTTGTGTGTTACCTTTCTTTATTAAATATCATGTTCCTCGCACTTAACCATAAGATCCAGTGCAACAGCAATATCCACAAAAATAGTTTTAAAACGCATATCTTAGAATTTCTATACACAGACTCACGCGCTGGAGATAAAAATGTTTTTCTGCACAACGTTGCCATTGCTCGCTTTGAAATCCTTGAGTTTGTTAATCAAAAATTCGTCAAGTTTTAAAAAATAGGAAATCGATCATAAAACAAATTTCAAATTTGGTCTTCCACATGCTCATATTCGTTGGAGGATTACGTTATTCAAAATTCGATGACTCATGTACCGTTGTTTTATCACAATACGAGAAATAGACATACATTTATGCAGATTTTCATTATTTAATTTCTTCAAATATAATGCAGGACTCTAACATTTTGTGGCAAAGTTTGAAAAGTGAACCGACATTTATGAGTCCGACGCAAAATGCTAAAACGAAACTAATAGTCCTTCGGGATTCAAATCCCTTTGGACTAAAAATTCTTGAAATAAATTTCCACATCCTACAAGACGATCTTTTGAAGAATTAAATTCACCAAGATTCATGCACATATTCTTTAACAAAGAAAATTTTCATTTTTAAGCAAGAAGATCGCAAAAACTTTTATTTAAAGAAAACTTCGATCAGTTGTTCAAAGATACAGAAAACCTACCACTTTGATAAAATAATCAAAACAATCTACAGTAATAAAAGAGACAATATGTCAGTTAATGTATCAAAAGCACTCACACACAGACAGGCCCAGAACTAAGATATTTGGTACATGAATTACCCATATGGAGTCCATGAGAACTTTACAGTGATTTATTTAAAATTTGATTTAGGATCTGTTTGGTATGTAACATTAATACTTCCTTTTTCATTACCATGCAGAATGTTTTTTATGCACTTCCATTTAGTTCGGTTTCCTAATTTGCTTACTTTTAGTGTTAAATTTTGAAATTAATTTTTGGGTCCCTTTAACACAGTCAATTTTCTAGGAATTTGGTACATGCATATATTATAAATTCAACACTACACAAAGAATTTCCTTGCCTTTACCTCTTCTAAATGGTTTAATATCAAATTTTAAATTACAAGTCATTCTTAATTTATCATCTGTAGCATTAAAAATGCATTTAAGAATGTTAATAAGCATACATGGATGCTATAACCAGTACAGCCAGATCACGCAATTTTTTACAAATTACAAAATCTATGTATGTAGTTTTGCGAATTTTCAGTTAGTACATCATTTTCTTGTGCTTATTTCTTGCTACATTAAAAATTGTTACTATATCCTAAAAAGCATATATGTTCAAATAATGTATATATGGAAATTAATTTATAATAAAAAGTAATAATTTGTTTGATCTTAAAAGAACAATTGGCAACTAGTAATATTGTGATATTAGAACATGAGCACACCTTATACTTAGTTTTCAACACTAGCTGCTGAAAAATACAAGGCAAAGGTACTGCAAACTGTGCAAATATGAACTGAAGAGATATAAAACTGATTTAATGAAGCACAATACTACTTAAAGCACAAGAAAAATTCTAAACAAATCCTGTCTCGCAATAGCTTAAAAAATACAACTGAAAGAGTGACTAGCATGAATCAATGTGCTTTGAAACTTTGTATTGTTATTTTGCCATGCTCCACACAATTCATCCACCATTTGAGAGAAATTTTTAGGAAAGAAATGCCATTAAATTCATCACCAGAGATTTTACATTTACACAATCTAAAATGCACGGCATTTATAAAAAAATTCGTATGTCATTATTATAAGATTTATTTAGAGTAAGCAATGAGATCATTAAAATGACCTGTTAATCTGCACATAAAAATGAAAATGCGTACACTAAAAGAAGGAAAAAAAAAAAAAAAAAGAGAAATCCTGCAAACTGAAATTATTCCTGTTTTAAGAGAAGACAGAGAGTTGGTTTCATATTAATCTTAAGATTTTTATAACATAATTATAAAAATTCTGAGATGTTGGACATAATTTTCAGTGTAGAAAGTTAAAATTATTAAAAAGCTAGAAATTTCTTTTCTTATTCAAAATTATTATTAATCAAAATTATAATTAAAATTATTATTAAAAAAATCCATTTTGTAAAAGTTGCTAAAACTTCTTTAGAATGTTTATGAGCTATCAAACTTGCATGGTCAATCTGTTTAAAAAAAAAAAAAAAAAAAAAAAAAAAAAAAAAATAATTGAAATATATTTCCACATCCTACAAGATAATCTCTTCTTTAGAATGTTTATGAGCTATCAAATGAGCTAATGATTAGTTTGATTACTATGCAAAGACATGCATATATAAAAAAATCTCAACAATGAATAAAAATATCTAAATTGAAAGGGAAAAATATCACTTTAAGATGCATAAAATCATCTTTTCAGAACCTATGATATATTTCATAGCTCGGGTATGTCTGTGATCTGTGATACATATGAAAGAAATGCTTTTAATCGTTACAGATATTTTCTCTCCATAATCGAGGAATTAATATTTCAGAAATATTCATGCTTCTATAACTAGGTATGACAGTTAAAACAACTCCCAAGTATACAATTATATTCCAAATTTTACACCTGAATATTTTAGGAACATTTAATGGAGATTAATTTATATAACTCAATTAAGTGACTACTGAATATTAGAATACAAAGCGAGAGAGAGAGAAATAAAAAAATCTTACCCAAAGGCATATATATCTGAGGCTCTAGAAAAAGGCAAGTTGTTTTCTTGTTGGCTTCCTGCCCTTAGACTACGAATTACTTCAGGAGCTAGATAACATAACCAGCCTTTTGGTATTGTTAACCAATCCCCCTTCCTAAATAAATTAATTAAAAAAGTTATAAAAATGTAAAATATGGAAAGTTAAACAACATGGTAGAATAATAAATGAAATAATGAAATGCTTTAACCCTCTGACTGCTCAATTTGTGGACAGAAATCGCTTCCAAAATTGTGTATTTTTTTCCCTTGCATATTTTAAATATATATATTGGATAATTGAAAAATTCACTTTTTCTTTCTAGAAAACATTTTTTATATAGATTCTTATCATGATAAACTAAGTTGCCAGAAAAATCAGTTTCAGATGTTATCACACACA